GGTGTTGAGTTTGGTTGTGGGCTGCAGGCTTTAAGAAAAGGAGGGATCTAGAGCTGCCGCAGATGTGGAGCGAGGGGGGGAATGTCCCTTCTAAGAAGAGTGGTCCCGGGAGAGAGAGAAGCCGACGGACTGTGGTGGACAACGGTTGAGAGTGCTGTGGGCATCCCAGGGATGGGAGAGCTGGGAGGCAGCTCCTGGTCTGTAGGCGTGGACCAAATACTGGCAGCTGAGCCTGCTGCTGCAGCTTGTCTGTAAGAAAAGATTCAGTTATAAATACCTCACTTGAGTCTGTTTTGACTCATTTGAGTATGTATTAATTTTTAGCCACCAAGAGAGCTCCATCCTATATTTTGGATAGGGCCCAGCATGCTGAGGTCCTGGTCGACCTGTGGTGTTTGTATGGTGGGAAAGATTATATTAGTATTAAAATTCTGTGGACAGTGAGGGACGTTGGTTCGCAGGGATTCTAGGTTGCTGCTGTTGGTCAGCTGCTGTGAAGCAGCATTGATGTCATAAGAGGGTGGCAGATACGTCAGAAACAGGGAAGGATTTGTCTTCCGTGAGGTGTTTTCTGACAAAACTTTCTTTCCACGTGGAAAATAACGTTGATCAGGAATGTGACTTGACTTCAAATGCTGTCAGAGTGGAGAGACTAAAGAAAGTCATCATAGGCGCTTACTGCAGACTTATGTAAGCAAGATGAATGTAATTGGGTATTTATTGAAAGTGTGGTCACTGTCACTCTTCCCAGGTGCTTTTCTTAGCCTGTCAGATGTCATTCAAAGTCCCAGTCTTATTTTTAGATGTGCCTGAGTACTGAGAGCAGTTGCAAGGCCGAGAATTGTCAAACGAGTTTATTTAGAAAGATGCTTAGCACTGGTTTTAATGGCAGGTGGAAGTCCACGTCCCTTAAACTGATATGAAAACATCGGCCTGGCTACTTTGCGAGAGACATGATCATTTTCTCTCTATTCTGTAGAGAACAGCTGAAAAGAGAATATGAAAGTCCACAGCACATCAGAGGCTTAGATACATCCTTCATTAATTTATCAAGTTTTCCTGCTTTTTTTTGTAGAGTTCCCTTTAGAGAACAAAACAGAAGGTATATCGGTAAGCTGATAATATTTTTTTTTTTCTCCTTTCTCCCTGAACTTCCTTCAGGAAGAGGAGACGAAATGGCAATGAAGATGACGGTCATGTTCCCCAGACAAAACGTAGTACCAGGAATACTGTCCTTCAGGACTCTTGGGACACTGAGGTGAGAGCCTTCTCGGGCAAATTCAGTTTCCTTTAATACTGAATTTAAATAATGGTTGGAATATTCTGTGAAATTTTATTCATGGAGAGTAGTTAATGAAAACGCTTTATTTTGCGTTGTGTATGAGGTCGTGAGGCTTGACTCTGTTACGTACTTCAGAGATTGAAATCTGTAAAACGTGGTTTGGAAATCAGCATGTTTTCCAGTGAACCTGGTTATCTTTGGCCTGAATATTTCTGTTAATGTACTTCAAATACTGATGCGCAGCACCCAAGTGAAGATACAAGAAAAGCATTTGCTGCCACTTCCAGTTCTGCTCTCTGAAATGAGGTGTAACGTATCCAGAACGGAGGAGATGACTAGGGTGGATTACAAGTGAGCGTGGTCACTTTGCCTGGCCATCTGCTCTTCCAACTTTGCATTTACTTACAGTAACATGATTATTTGTGGTAGAAAGTCAAAAAGCATTCCAACTAGTGCAATACACAAAGTGCCTGTTGCTAGCAGTAGTGCTTATCTGATGTTTAAAAAAATGCTCTGATAAAGCTCAGCAGTTTAAGCAAGACTCGCTCGCTCACAGCTAAAATACTTGAACTCAAACTATTGGGTTTCTACTTGTATTTGCCGTGATCTTTTGCTGGACGTGAGATAAACTCTCTCTTATTCTCTCATCGCTCACATGACAGGTGTTCTAGGACGGTGCGATTTGCTAGCTGTGAGATTTCTTTTTTTAAAAGATGCTGACTTCCAAGCTGCTGCCAGATTTCCTGAATGGTTGCCTGTATTAATCATCTGAAAATTCACTGTATGCATTCCTAATTAGCAATGTAGTTCTGTTGCAAAACGTTCACGGAAAAGAGCGTGCAGAGCAGAGGCTCCCTCCTGCTTTGTGTCCCTGGAAGTTAATGAAATGGATTTCTTTTAAGGTTTTTGAAATATCCTTGTTGGTTTTTGTACAGCCCTCTCACTCCGAAGATTGGCTGTAATGAGTAATTACGAACTATTGCAGTTGTATTGAACTATTAACTAGACTTTGACTGCAGAAAATGTTTTGTGCTATGTAACTCGGAGCAACGTATCTTTTATCATATGGTAATGGCTTCAAATGTATACTTAGATTTAAAATGGTACAAAGTTCTGTATCCCACCATTCCTTTTGTGAGGGAGACTTCCTTTTAACCAGTACACCTTTACACATAGCTGATGTGATAGTCAGTGATATTGTATGGAAAACACTCTAACAGCCGAGATGTTCATCACGAAGGAATTGCTGTGATGAAAAATGTTCCTGGTTCCTGTATTGCTGTTTTGCCAGAAGTAAGACTTGCTGGGATTGAAGTAGTTTTTGCTTCTCGGGTATAACGGGTAGAACCATAAATAGTTGCTTGCCATCTGACACTGAATCACTTGTCCAACAGGTTAAACACCTCTTCGTGTGTAGAGTAGTTAATGGCTAAACGAGCTTTGTGGCGGGAGGAGGAAGAATTTAGTGTGGAACAAGGGATTGAAGTAGGAGTAATGAAATTAAGAATATCAGGAAAAGCCTTCATGGTGAGTGGCAGAAGCACCTTTGCTTGTCATATAAACACTTGGCGTTTGACTGGGCAAAGTTGCTAAAATGCAGAAATGGAAATAGTCTTGTAGTAGCCACACAAGAGTGGATGACCTTAACTCTGTCCTTAACGGCCGTTTCGTTTGGGGTGCCTGCAAGTGAACAGCATGGGCATGAACCGCCTGCCCCGCCACCAGCAAAATCAGCGCAGAGTTCAATTGCTGAAGCTAACATTAAGACTCCTGCTTCATGCATGCACTTGTGTTGTAAAAGTATGTTTTTAACACATTAAACCCTGACGTGCAGGCAAGGAGAGTCTCTTACTGTTGACGCTGAAGTGGAGGAATGCGCCTGCTGGACAGTTTTACAAAAATCAATGTTCCCTTTCTCGAGGGAACAAAATTCACAATGTCGTCTACTGATGAATAGAGGTTTTTTTTTTTCCTTTTTTTTTTTTTTGCTTGTTTTCTTGTAATGTTGGGTCACTGAATTGAGCATGCCCAGAAATTCAAGCCATGAGATTAAGTCAGTGTTATTTGAATGTTTCTTTAAGGACTTCCTGTGCCAAATGGAGAAATTCTTGTGCTTATAGTGCACAAGTGCTTCCGATTGATGTCACTTCTAAATTCTTGGCCATTTGTAATACTTTTATTTAGTTTCCTGATACTTTGCCATTTGCAAAGGCAGCTCTTGCTGATTACAAATCCTCACTAGCTTTAGGATATTGAACTGGGAGAGAAAGCGTGTGTGTGAGAGCAATTTGTAACTTCAAAGAGCACATGAGGAGAATATTGCTTTTCATCTGAGGGCATACGCACACCTGCTTTTTGTGAAACTTTAGCTAAAGTACTGATTCTTTTTGCCTTCCTTCAGTTGAAAGTTGACTGTTTTCTCTTACAGGGTATGGTTTACTTGAGAACATAACCTCAGTAGGAAAATCAGGCAGCCGTAATACTAAACATGAACTTGGCTTTTGTCAGGATCTCTTTCCTTTTTTTTTTTGCCTTACTCTCCATAGCTGACAGCAATATGTGTAAGGTGAAGGGAGATTTTTTTCTTAGAGGCAGGTCAAACGTGGGCTGTTCGGTGTCCCTCAGTCCCTCACTTTGAATCCCACTGCTCACATGAGCTAGATTTGATGCAAAAAGATATCGCTGTTTTCTCCCGCTAGATTGTCCTTTCATCCAGGGTAGACAGCATCCTCGACTCCGGCTGACTTTTACAGGAGGGAAACAGGTTCTCTTCAATCTCTGTCAGCACTACCTCTTGGCAAATTGCTATAACGATGTGCAATTCCTGCTCCTCCTGGAACAAACCACTCCCACGCTCCTAGGTGACAGCCACCCTGAGGATGACAGTAAACTTCTGCTTTGCAGTTCCGTCCGTGAACAGGCACACGACGAAAACGCTAGACTAGGACGCCAGCGAACGTTAAACATTAGCGAAGCAGAGCATTTGCCACCGCGTTTCACTTCCTGTTCAGCCTGTCCTCCGTTTACCTGGAGGTTAGCTGTGGTGTTTTCCCTGGTACTCGCTTATAAATTCAGCAAAAAGCCCTTCCTACCCTCCTGTCATTGCTGCCCTGTACATGAAGTCAGGCAGAGTTGTAGTGGATCCTCTGAGAGGCTGGCTGCGAGCAGCCGCTCACGGGAATTCTGAGAATCTGCAATAGTGCTCTGCAACCTGGGGAATCACCAATGAAAAGCCCTTTGCTCTGATTTTCCCTGGGAAGGAAGGGAGTCTGCAGTGTTCTGACTAGCTTTTTTCCTTCCTGAATAACTTTCTTCTGCAAAACCCCATTTCTTGTGGTTCCTCTTTGTTATTCTGAGCGATGACAGGATTCCCCAGAGCTTAGAAATACCACTGTTTTATCGGTGGAGATTGCTGACGCACAGCAGCAGTTGCTTCTCTCAAATCAAAGTTTTTGTCTAGCATTGTGGCTATGCCACTCCGCAGTATTACACTATTGAGGAAGGGCTGATCTTAAATTCTAATTAAAATCAGATGACGCCTCTGTTAAACTCATCTTGAAAGATTTTGAGAGCAGCAGGGTCTGAACGGCTGCTTCTTAAGTTCCTGTCATGAATGATTGTGATGCTACGTCACAGATTGGCAGACTAATACATTTAACAGGACATTTGTTTGGAAATGATTTAAAACTTCTATAGCTACTTAGTGTGATGTTAAAGAGGGGCTAATGAGGGTTTACCAAACCCTGAAGATGTCCTTTTGATACTTAAAGTACTCATAAACTTTCATTGGGCTACTTTCCTTTGCCCTTTTGCTTAAAACTTTGTTTCATTGTGTAGATGCCTGTCATTGCTGACATGATGACTTTAAGGATTCTTTTTTTGTCTAATTGTAGTCCAAATGCGTAACAGAATGTGCACCACAGCCTGGGGAAATGGTAGGTCTTTGACGTGATTTGGGCAATAAATGGGCTTCACGTGCTAGTGAATTTTTGCATTAGAGAAATGGAAATAAAGAGGGTATGACAGACCCTGTTGATCTGTCAACAGCCTTAGATGTAGGAAGCACGTCCCAGGACACTATCTCAGTTTTAAAAGAAAATTAGACATGCATAAAATAATCATTACTAACAGCTCTAAAATGTTTGTTAAGATGTGAAACTTTAGCCGTAAGTAATACTAGGTTTTCATTTTGATTTTTACCTTGATTTTCAGAAGGTGGCTGTAACGAAAAACAGTAAGGAACACAGACTAAAAGGAAACAAAGTGTCCTGTGCGGTGGGTTTCTCTCCAAGGCTGCTGTGACTTGTTCAGCGTAACAGCATTGCATTTCAATATTTGTGCTTCTATGCAAAATGAGATGGTCTAGCAAGCACCATTTCGTGGCTCCTCTCTGTCCTTCTGGTGTTCTCTCCCTCTCTAGTGTTAGCAGCGTTAGGAAGAGGAGCTGGTTGCTCGTGTAGTTACATCTGCTGCTTCCTCAAGAATGACTTCACATGCGTTTTGTTGTTTTCTCCTCGCTAGCTGAACCTAACACGCCAGCGCGGGTGCAGCCTCAGTGCCGCTGTCTTGCTTGCTGTACTGCAACAGAACTGAAGCATTTTTGGTGCTTAGCAAAACAAGGAAATTTATATGGTTGAATTGTCACGATCGATTGTGGAATCGGTGCCGTGGGGTTTCCAGTCGGCACTGAGATGTGGTCCACCTCAAATACTCATACAGTGCCTTCCTGGGCCTTTCTCACTGCTCGTCGACAGACGTGTCGGGTGCAGTTCGCACCATTCTTCAGATTCACTCCAAAGTGAAGCCTCCTGGATGTGGTGCTGACCGTTAAATTACTGTGGATTTCTTTAAATTTGGCTTCCTCTGCTGTGGCCACCAAGCTTTGACTTCTGTGGTTTTAGTTTAATACTTACAAAAATGTGGGGTTTTTTTAGCTGCTGTCACTTACACTGGCTGTTTTTGTGAATTTACTTCTTATGGGATGGCAAAGTAGCCACTCTCTGATTCTTAAGCACCTAAATATTTGCAGTGTTGTCCTGAACAGCATATCCCACAGTAATGAAATATTTCAGCTGTTACTAATGGAACCTTTCGTTAGCAGCCCTTAAAATGGTGTAAACCAAACAGTTTTATGTCTTTGAAACACTGAAAATGATGGCTAATGCTCTTCCAGTCATTACCATGAAATGTGTTTATCCTAAACGCTGGCAAATGAGCCCTGTCCTCTACGCGACCTAAATCATGAGCTCTCTTTTCTGCGTGTGGAAGTCTTCGGTGCCTGTCGCTCTTTCACCGTCGTGTCAAGTAAATTGTTATGGAAAGCTACCAGTTAACATTGCCGTCCCAGTACTTAACTGGGAGAAGAGTAGTTGTATGTACGTCAAGGTGTTCAAAGACTTAAAATGGGTATCGTGTTGCATTTGTTTTTAACAGCCTGTTGCTTTGGATGCTTCAGATCTCATTTTAGAAAGATTGACTTGTAGGAAAATGCTTTGCATGGTGCTCACCTAAAATGTCTGCTAGAACAGAAGCGATAAACTTTTCCTCATGCCCTGCCTGCCTTTACTGACACGTGCAGTTCAGTAGGAATGTTCTTTATTTTCCAATTCTCGGATGAATTCAGCAAACTTCACTAGTGCTAACGTGGGTCATGGGGGCAGAGCTGGTGGGCCTAAAACCGAAAGATTGAAATGCAATGTACTGGAGGTCAGCGAACCTCCGTGTGAAGGCTTGCTCATCCCTTCAGCTCTGTGACGCTTTTCATGTGTTGGCAATAACGGAAGCTATGAATGCCAAGAAAGCACTTGGTGGATTTACATTAGTCCATCAGGCTGAACGTGAGCCTGAAAATCTGGAAGGGAGGGACTTGTTGTAAAGGTTGTTTGCTTAACTGAGCTGTTTCATTATGGACAGGAGAGAAGACTCTGTGATTTTGCTGTTAACCTTCTCTTTGTCTCAGTCCTCCAGCAGCGATAGCGGCAGCAGCAGCAGCAGTAGCAGTAGCATCAACAGCCCTGACAGAGCGTGCAGTGCAGAAACCAGCCTAAACCCGATAATTGCGGGATCCAGTCCTGTCTCCTCTCAGTCCTTCCATGAGCAGTCTGCACTAAGCCAAGGTCCTTACTTCCACATCAACCAGATCCTGAAGGAGGCACACTTTCACAGCTTACAGAGCCGGGGACGCCTTCCTACATGATGAACCAGCAGTTCCCTGCCTTCTGTGAAGGGACAGCACTGTGTAGATTTGATATTTCAACTTAAAAGTTTGTTAAAATGGAATTGCACAAAACGCCTGTTGCCTTTTCAGTCTATATTTGAAATAACAGGTTAACAGGAAATTGTTTACTTGTGGTTTGCTGCACTATTGCAATGCAAAAGGGGCTTTGAAGCAATTTTTATAGGATTCTTTTTGGGGTGGTTATAAAGTATGTGTCAAGAGGAGACTGAGGAATCCACATCTGTGTTATAGGATTGCAAAATGTCCAATTCCAATCGACTGCCTAATCTGTTTGTTAGCAATTTGTTGCTTTATGTAAAGTTCTCTCAAACGTTCATCTTCAGTTTTATAAGTCTTTTTTTAATTTCAATAAACTAGTAAAAAATTTATTTGGCAACATAATTTTTTTGAGCATTTAGAGTTAATAAGACAGTAAGAATAGGTGCCATCACTGGAATCCCTTAGGACTGCCCCAGCTGTGAACCTCCCACCCAGCTCCGTGTGTGATGAGCCTTACCTCTCTTGATCTTTACTGCTGCGGTACTGAAAAGAAAATGTGAAACTAGGACAGCTTAGGCAGCTGTAGCCGAAACCTCAGGTGCCCGCTGGCTTCACTTGGAGAGCAGATTTGCGGTGCCTATGGAGACAAGTACAGAGTAGCCTGGGGAGAGGCTTTTGAAGGAGAGGAGTCTTACATTGCTCCAATACCCATTTCTAGCTGTGAAATGGTTTGTTTTCTGTTACAGTGTGTAGGGTTTTTTTCTTTAATTGGGCTTTAATGTTAACAACTTCTAAGGAATAGGAGATGAAAGAGTAGCTGCACCTCTGTTCCAGCAGCCAGATGGCAAGGACAATCCTGACCCGTGCCTGGTTCAAGGGGCGTACTGTGATCTGGCTAAGGATGGAAAAGTACTTCTCTTCCAACAATACCAGCGGAGGTGTCACCGCTCCCTGCCAAGGGGAGAGCGCGATCTCGGTGAAGACAAATACGCAGGCAAACTTTTTATTTTTTATTGCATCACTTGGTCATGCCAGAAAGCCATCCCAGCTTGAAGAGAGAAGGTGCAGCTGTGTCTTCCTCCTCAGTTACAAGCTGCCTGAACAAAGAGCCAGGGCGCGATGCCTCGTCTTCTGCTCTCGTGAGTGCAGGAGGTGGAACCTGTTAGTTTTTAAAAACAAAAGCGTCAGTAACTATTACAGCATACCTTTGACTCACTCCATACCCTCGTCTATAGTAGCTGCAAGGAGGCATAGTCTACAGCAGAACAGCTCTTCCTAGGCAACTTGAGCTTGAACTACAACCTAAGCGGTGTCACTCCTGGTGGTTAGTGACAGGCAGAGGCAGTTCCGAGCGGCAGAAGCACAGCGCCTTGCTGTTGTTGGCAACAGGTAACTTTTCAGGTGTCATTCAATGCTCAAAAAAAAAAACCAAACCATTCTGAACTGCAGGGGGGGGAGGCTGTTGCTCTCGGAGCCAGGGGTAACAGCATGGTAGAAGTACAGCTGTTGCCCTTGCAGAGAGCTGTTCTTGAGTAACTACGGACTTTAACCTCTCCTGAACTGTTTTAGCATAAAAGGAGCAAGCGTCTGTTGGGGATTCTGAGAAGTGTGGCTAGCACAGAACATACGTGTGCCACCACGGCAGGTGAAGGGAGTGGGAGGAGCGAGCCAAACATCACTGCACACTGCTACGCTCTACTACAGCTGAGGTGCAAGAGGTAAAGAATACCTTTACTGTGAAGCTTTGGGCTTTTAAACAACCCTTATACTATGTCTGGTCCTTAATGCTTCTGAATAATGGAGAACAAGAGTTGCAGAGCAGACATCAGCATCTCAAGTAACACTCTCCGCTCTGATAAAACCAGACCTTTACTCTTCCGTCCCAGTTGAAAAGACGTCACCACAGATAGATTATTGGGTTAATAATAGCTAAAGGAAACATTACTAATTACTGTTTCCCGTAGCGGTGAGGTATTCCTTGGCTCTCTCAATCCTCAGCGTAGAGAACTCCATCTAAGCAGATGTTTTAAACTGGGGGAAACGTAGCAACGTAATGGTTGTCTACTGCTAAAACTCAGAAACGGGACAACACAGAGCCTTTGCAAGAGAAGCAAGCCACTGCTCACACAGGCTTAAATACCCAAGCCAGGCTTCGTCAGGAGTTAAAGGTCAGCATCGCACTGGAAAGGAGTTCAAATAATTAGCTAGTATCCTTCAACGTTTCCTGCAGCCATCTTTAAATGAATTGTCTTTATGCATTGACCTCAAAATGCCTCATCTGTATAAGTCTTCACTGCATGTTCATGGTGGTTATTGCCTATGTTTTACCGCAGAGCAACGGGCCCCAAAAATACAGGGGCCATCAGGTTTTTTTTGAGGGTCAAGGGGAAATCCAAACCATCTCATGCTGTGTTGCCGTAATGGTTCTCTCATTTTACCGAAAATAAAAATCAGGTTAAATATTAACTGTTTGGCTACTTTCTTTTTTCCCCGCAAGCTCTAGTGTTGGTGGGAGCATGAGTACTGGCAAAAAGTTAGTACGGCTCAGTTTTACCAACCTGAACTCCTTCTGTGCTCCTGGTGGCAGACTTGTTCTTTCGCGAACTCGACATACTCAGCGGCAGAAGTCCAAATCTTAAGAGGTGGAAGAAAGAAACGCGGCCGGTCACATTTTGGGCTAGAATTTGGGAATTCTAGACCTGCTTCCCAAAGAGACATGAGAACGCACAGAGGAGCCGAGTACCTTACCTGATCTGGCTGGATGCTAACGGCAAGATGTTGTGGAGCTCCTGGGAGCTCAGACCGCCACTCCTGCTCGTGTAATGATTCTCTGTCCCAGTCAGCAAGCCAAAGAGAACCTAGAAGGCACGAAGGAGCTGTTTGTATTTGGGGGCATCTGCAGAGCCGACCACACAATACATTGCTGGCGAGTCTACTGGCACGCCACTTGTGATTGATTTAAGTTTCAACATTGAATGTCTCCCTTCCCCATCTAACTCTTGCTTCTAATTGGCGCTGCTCATTATTACCGTAGTTGAGTTCTAGGCCTGTTTCAGCACTACTTAACCCAATTAACGTTGCACAGGCTCCAGTGACTCCTGTTAGATGAAGTTCAGCCAACTCCATGCACGATCATGTGCTGTGCAGCCAGCTCAGCAAGCTCCTCTTATCTTCAGCTGGCATTAAATACTCCTCCCATTTCTGCGCAAGTGCCAGTAGTTATCTTTAGGCATTAAGCAGTTTATAAAGCCACCCCAGCTGCCCTTCAAAACGTGTTTTGCAGCCCTGCTTCCTGATCCATCCCTTCCTTTTCCTTGAACTTACCGAGGTTTGCTGAACCAGGCGATTAAGGTTGCTGTTCAAGTGTGGAGTAAAAACGTCCAAGTCAAATGGATCTATGTGTCCCTCCAGGAAGTCGGTCACCTTCTCAATCCTACAAGCAGAGCAGAGGAGTCCTGTCAGGGGTTACGTCCTGGCGACGGCTGCCGATGCCAACAGGGCCGTTTCACCGGTCCCTCTGAAACAGTGAGGGACTTGCCCCTAAGAGGTGACTGAGCAAAATTGGGAATTACACAACCTACAACATCTGCTGTTGCAGAGGAACCTTCTCCCTGTGGTACGTCTCGGAGGGAGATGCCTCGGTTCTCAAGACTGGAGCATACACAAGGTTTTAACTCTTGGGTGGGAGCTTAACTGTTCTCTCCTAGGGGCGGTATCCCTGCCGCCATACTGACACGCTGTGTACACAAGCAGGGGGGACCAGCCCGCTGTCTCCGAGCTCTCAGCTGCAGAATCCCACCCCTCCTTCTACATTTTGAGGATGAGCTTAGCATCGGTGAAGATGTCAGAGCTCAGAGCCTGCACTGCCCTCCTCCCGTGAGGCCCAAAGGCACCACTCCCGCAGGCATTCTCCAGGCCATTGGTTTAAAGCGTTTCAGGGCTTCACAAACTACTGCTAGTATCCGAATGCCAGAACTGCACCGCACCCGGAGTCATGCTTGATCCTGCTGGTTTTTGCTTCTTCACTCTTTGCCGTCAAGATGATACTCAGGTACCGCAGATCGTAGAGTAACTGCAGAGCTCTGTTCTGGGTCATGGGGAAGGTGCCTGCCTTCTGCAAATAGGACAGTCAGGAACAGGGCTCTTCACTCACACTGTGACAGGGCTGTCAAAGGACTGCTTCAGGGGAAACGTTTAAAAACACCAGCACCAAGAAACAACCAACCTAACTGAACCGTTCTGAGCATGCAATCTGGTGTCTGATCCCTTTTTGCCTCATTTTTGGGGGAGGCAGGGGAAGAATGTACTCGCCCTTTCCAACTCTCACAGGCAGACGGTTTCTGTTCCAAGGGACAGGAGCGTATGCATCGCCGTGTGCCCAGCGACCCTCCCGTCCCATGCCAGCTGGAGCAAGGGCCGATCCTACTACACGTACCTTCTCCTGCTTCTCTTCCACGAGCTTTTCATAAGCAGCAAGCACTTCTGCCATGCAGGTCTTCAGTAACTCCTGCAGGGTGACTTTTGGAAGAGTGTGACCGCCGACACGGTTCACCTCTTGGCACAAGCTGAAGAGGAGGCACTGGACGTACCAGGACGGCTGTTTAAGAAAACAGTGTTATTTTCACGTGGTCTGTAAGCTACATTGGCTTTATCAGTGGCACAACATCGCTTCAGGTCTCGTGACGCGAGCTTCCTACTTCCTCAGCAACCACAGAACTCTGCCAGTGAGACCTACCTGCACCCATAGCATGGCTCAGGTATCTCACCGGTTTTTATTTACTGACACACCAGACTTTTAGTTACAGCAGTCCTCAAAGTCCCACAAGTACTTTTACCAGAGGTATTCACCTGAGTGTAGTCAGAACAGAATTGCTTGTTGTGCCTCTTCTGTCACCACTGACCCTGCTCTGACCACCTGCTACCTGGGCTCGTTATATACTCCCTCGCTCTTCTCCTGGGCCTCCCAGCTATCCTGAGCTCTCATCCGGCTGCTTTTTCCTTCAGAATCAACAAAATTCACCTTGTAAGGTTCACTACAAAAGACTATTGCCCTGTCCAGCCCCTCCTCTACTGTGCAAACACAGAACTCACTCTTGCCCTGGCCCTCCTCTCCCTCCATGCGATCGCCACACGCTTTGTCGCTGTCAGTGTCATTCCTGCACCACCACCACGCCTACGGAAAGCTGCAAGCCTCGGTTCTCTTAGGCTTTGCACAGTCCCACTGTTGCAGCCCTGTCCTCCGGTGCATCCGATTTCCATGAAATCTCTCTGCTGGGGGCCTCTGTGTATAAACCAGGCGTAAGTCCTTTGGCTCAGTTTTACAGGATCTGGGCCAATCTTACTCATTTGAATATACAGCAGCAAGTATCTAATTTCCTTCCTCTGAC